TTCTTGCGGTGGTAGCTGCTGCTGATGCCCCGGGGGGTGTTGCTGCGGTCCGTCCAGCTGCAGCAGCAGCTGCAGCAGCAGCAGCAGCAGCAGCAGCAGCAGCAGCAGCAGCAGGAGAGGCTTCTGCTGCTGCAAGATCTCTAAGCGGGAATTTAGCTGCATAATACTCAGCTGCATGCGTTTGGTTGAGGGGCCCCGGGGGCCCCCCAGGGTGAAAGTGGGGCCCCTCATACTCTGCTATCAAGCGAAAGAAATGTATAAGACGAGGCAAATGAATTTGGGTTTTTCTTGTTAGGGGGCCCCCCAGCACACCAAGGGCCCTCGTATACACCCCAAGTAAACAACTAAAACCACCAGAATATATATTTATATGCGGCAAAGAAGGAAGAAAATCATTACCCACAAAAAAAGATAACAACACAAAGTCATCCACCAAACGACTACCCAGGGGCCCCCCGAGGGGCCCCCCTAGGGGCCCCCCCAGGGCCCCCCCAAGGGGCCCACCCAGGGGCCCCCCCAGGGGCCCCCCGAAGGGTCCACCAAGGGGGCCCCCCAGGGGCCCCCCAAGGGGGCCCCCCACAAGGGGGCCCTGCTTCAAGCTGTCGATGCCTGAGGCGAAGGTAGAGAGGTTTTTGCGTAAGCCCATAAGGGAAGCAGCAGCAGCCCGCGGTAGATGGTTTGTTTTNTGCTGCTGCTGCTGTTGCTGCTGCTTCGTTTGCTGCTGCAGTTGCAAGGGAACGAACAAGCTGACGTCTTAGGGTGTCTATACACACCACCTCGAAGTCTTTCGCTGTATAGCGTAGAAAATCACCAGAAGGGGGCAGCAGCAAGTCATCTGCTGCTTGCTGCTGCTGCTGCTGCTGCTGCTGCTGCTGTTGCTGCTGCTGTTGCTGTTGCTGTTGCTGCTGTTGCTTCCCTTTTCCTTTCCGCTTACTCTTACCACTCTGTTGATTGAATTGCAGCTGTTGCTGCTGCTGTCCCTGCTGCTGCTGCTGCTGTTGCTGCTGCTGCTGCTGCAGTTGGTTGTTGCTGCAGTCCTGCAGCAGAGCCGCCTGCATGCGCAGCAGCAGCTGTCTTGCTGCAGCAGCTTTTGTTCCCCCCAACGAAGTTTGTTTCTCTCTTAATATTAATATGCCTGGCCTTTGTCTTGCGAGCGCTAATACTAATAAGTCTGCATCTAAACCATATAAACAAATACGACCAGGGAGAGGAAGCAGCAACTCTGCTGCTGCTTGCTGCTGCTGCTGCTGCTGCTGCTGCTGCTGCTGCTGCTGCTGCTGCTGCTGCTGTTGGTGTTGCTGTTTCGGTTGGTTATGCTGGTGATGCTGCTGTTGGTTTTGAGTTGGGGATGCTTGTGACGCTGCCTGCGATAGATTGTTTTTTGCTGCTGCTGCTGTTGCTGCTGCTGCTGCTGTTGCTGCTGCTGCTGCTGCTGCTGCTGCTGCTGCTGCNGCTGCTGCTGCTGTTGCTGCTGCTGCTGCTGTTGCTGCTGCTGCTGCTGCTGCTGCTGCTGCTGCTGCAGCATTCTTTTCTTCGCATGCTTCAAATGATGGCGGCAGCAGCAGTCTGAATTTCGTTCCAGCATCTCTATTTCTACAAAGCATTCGCA